TGACCTTGATATTCTTATTACTCTTAGAAAAAGAGTTAGAACATGCACTAAACATCCCATCTCCCATTTTTTCTCCTATAATGCTGTGTCCCCTTCCTATAGAGTCTTTATTTTGTCTGTTTCTTTTGTTTCTATACCGCAGACCGCAGGATTGGCAAGAGGCATTACAGGATTCAAAATGGAAAGCTGCAATGGTTGAGGAGATGAGAGCTTTGGCAAAAAATGAGACATGGGATCTTGCAATTCCTCCACCAAGAAAGAAGCCAGTTGGATGTAAATGGGTATTCACAGTTAAACATAGGGTAGATGGTTCAATTGAGAGGTACAAGGCTAGATTGGTAGCCAGAGGGTTTAGTCAGACCTATGGAATTGATTACCAGGAAACATTTGCCCCTGTAGCCAAGATGAACACAATCAAAATTTTGTTGTCTTGTGCAGCCAATCTTGATTATGAGTTACATCAATTTGATATTAAAAATGCTTTTCTACATGGTAATTTGAAAGAAGAGGTGTATCTGGAGATTCCTCTTGGATTTGATGACGACAAGACCAGAGGAAAAATTTGCAAGCTGAAGAAGTATGGGTGAAAGCAATCAACAAGAGCATGGTTTTGAAAGGTTTTGTTAAAGCTATGCTTTTCTTGGGTTACATTTAGAGCGATGCTGATCATACTTTGTTCATTAAACATCATGAAGGTTTAAGATCACATTGCTTATTTTTTATATTGATGATTATAGTAGTGATTGACTGGAAATTAAATGAAGAAGAAATGGCTCACTTAGAGTTTATTTCGCTAGGGAATTGAGATTAAGGATTTGGAAAGTTGAGATATTTCCTTTGAGATATTTCCTTGGGATAGAAGTTGCTAGATCAGGAAAAAAGATTTTTATTTCTCAAAGAAAGTACATCCTTGATCTCCTTAAAGAAATTGGTATGTTGGGATATAAACCTGCAAAATCACCTATTAAAGCTAATCATAAGCTTCAAGTTGGAGTGGGAAGTCCAGTTGATCTTGGCAAGTATCAGGGATTGGTTGGAAGGTTGATTTATCTTGCCCATGCTAGACCAAATATTGTCTATGATGTAAGTTTAGTGAGTCAGTACATGCATGACCCTCGAGAGCCTCACTTAAAAGCGTACATCGAATTCTAAGATATTTAAAATTATCTCCAAGTATAGGACTTTTATTTTCTAAACGTGGCCATTTGACAATAACAGGCTATACAGATGCAGATTGGGCTCGTTCCCTTGATGAGAAGAGATCAACTTCAAGTTATTGTATTTTTGTTAGAGGAAATCTGGTCACATGGAGAAGTAAGAAGCATACTGTTGTTACAAGGTCCAGTGCAGAAGCTGAATATAGAGCTATAACAGGGAATCTGTGAACTCCTATGGTTACACCAATTAATGGAAGAGTTAAAGTTGGTTGAAATAACAAATATATCCTTGTTTTATGATATTAAAGCAGCCATCGGTATTATGAATAATCCAGTCCAGTATGATCGAACTAAACACATAGAGATTGATCGTCACTTTATAAAAGAGAAGATGGTTGAAGGTTTCATAAGTGTCTCCTACATAGCTTCAAAAGACCAACTAGCTGATGTTTTCACAAAGGGTTTGAATAGCAAGTTGTTTCATCCTTTAGTTTGCAAGTTGGGCATGTGTAATATCTATGCACCAACTTGAGGGGGAGTGTTGAAATATTTGTAATTAGTGTAAATATTGTCTTTCCTAGTTTAAGTTTATTCCCATTTAGATTACTTCCTATATTAGAACAATCTTTATATATAATATATATATATTATATATATATATAATTTTATATATATATTATATATAAAAACAATTAGATGATGACAAAATTATCAAAGATTGACATTCCTTATTTCTATTCAACAACGTACTAATAGTTCCTTGATTTTGTTTAAATGATTGTTGAATCCTTATCTTGGAATAAATGGGATAAAATGGATTAATATTGGTTCGATCTAACTCATTATTAGAGATCGGTCCTGAACCTGATGGATCATTCCATATATATAGTAGAGATTGGACAATAACAATACAATATAGAGAAATAAAACTCTCTTTTCAAAAACTACAGTAACAGTTTGTGTAATTATTCAATATGGACACAATTTGATGGTTGCATTATAGTTTTGAAAGATCATTTCATGTTGATATTAAACCTTGTAAATATATGCACAAATTTCATTAACTCTAATTTAAAGTAATTTTATGATTTAACTGAACACTAATGAAAATTTTGTGCTCATGTCCTAAATAGGTTGTACAAAATGAAACAAAAATAGCAACACTAATTATGAATTAGTTGTACCCTGTTTGGATTCCCTTTAAGGATTCCTGTTAAGTAAAAATAAATTAGTTTTGCATATTTATAAAGAGGCACCACTTACAAACCGTCCTCTCAAACCTTCCCAAAAACCTTTCATTTTCATTATATTTGTGTCCATTTGATTGAAATTGCTCAAGACTATAGAAAATGAGGTAAATTTAAAATTTCAAACGTGAAATGTTAATATTGGAAAGTTTGAAAAAGTTGAGAATTAATGTTATTTTTTCACCATTTCCTCCATTTTTCGGCTGAAAGTCCTCTAATTAATAATTCTTTGAGAGTCTCCCAACATTAGTTGGCTCCTTCTTAATTAAAGAGCCTATTTGATACTATTTAAAAGTAAAATAGGTATAAAAAAAACAGAGAGAGTATTTTTTATTTTCTCATAACAGTCCAAATGGCTAAGATGAGATGTTGATGAACAAAAGATTATGGGTCCATATCCACTCTTCACCACCACTTAATGGAATTAATTAATTGTTAAATGCAGTTTCTGCATTTAATGGAGTTTGTAATTTGCAATGTAATGTACATAAACTATAATACTGAAGGACAAGACTTACCTACACCTAGTATATGCGACTATTATATATATCAAACCAATCAATGAATGTTTTTTCTTGAACTTGTTATTGAGTATTTTGCCCCTTTCTTTCCATGATGAATGGTTAGATCCTAGTTACAATTAAAAGTTATATTTTTAATTGGTTTAATATATGGATCGAGAGCTGGTAAGTTTTCCTCCCACTGAAACCTACCTTCCCAATTCATAGCATTCGTTAATGAATGAATAATTTGACTCCAAATAAAAAATAGACTCGCTTATAGCTTAAAAAGCTTAATTTTTTGAATGTGCTAATTTTTTAAACTTGCACTACCTATTATTTATAGGTATTATATGTACTTGCAATATATATATTTTATAATATTATTATATATAATTATATATATATATATAATATAATTTTTATTATATAATTTTTATTAATTTCATATATAAAGTAATATCATTAACTATCTATATTAATAAAATTTTGATATTATAAATGATATTTTATGCTGATGTTATATATAATTTAAGTTGGAATAAGAATAAATAATATTTAAGCTGAAAAATCGTATTACATTTTGATTTTTGCAATAGTTCTTCCTCCTTAATTTGTTACGAGACTAATAATGTAGCTGCAGAAGAATGTATGTCAATGTCCCATCATTATAAGTTATTTTAGAGACGGCAGAAGAAGAATCTATATCAAGATCCGTACTGCTGTCGCTATACATATTTAAACTATATGTTCAACAGAATACGTGCATTCATTTGTGGGTTTCACCAACAATAATGTGGATGAAATTTACATTTATAGGTTCATTTTTTGGATGTCCTTCTAAATTGTTTTTACATTTGTAGGTTCACTTATATGTATACACCGATCAGTTAGTAAATGTTGCTTCTGATTATATTTTAGGAACTTATTTTTTAGAATGTTCCATTGAGGTCTTAATTATTAAAAAAAAAAAAAAAAAAAAAAAAAAAAAAAAACCCAGTATAGGCAATTCAAATCCTAATCATTGATTGTTTTATGGGATTGTTACCTATCTTTGCTTAGAATATTTCTTTTGATCTTTGCTTCCCTTTGGTACCCAGAAGAGTTCCAATCATAATATACGTATATGACAAACTAAATTTTCACTATATGTATGGAACAATCAATAATAATATAGTGTCGGTTAGAAATTACCTCATGGTTAACCTTTCCCCACAGTCATAATTCAAACATTTAATTCTCATAATGGTTGCCAGTCTAGTAACGTCTATCCACTCAGCCAGCCTTGTTGATATATCATGCAAGTTGCCTTGCCTTCAAGCATAAAACCTTAACCAAATCCCTCCCGTGCCATACCTAATTCATCAATTCTCCAAAGCAAACCCACCAAGCAAAAAAAAAAAAAAAAAAAAAAAAAAAAAAAAAAAAAAAAAAAAAAAAAAGAAGAAAAAACGCCAGCAAGGGCTTTAATAGAAAAAAAAAAAAAAAAAAAAAAAAAAAAAAAAAAAAAAAAAAAGAAGAAAAACGCCAGCAATGGCTTTAATAGGCATTATTGAAATAATCTTAGCAGCCATTTGTTATTCTATAGGTTTTTGGTTAAGCAACCGCCGTGAGCTTATATGGAATTGGCCATTTGTTGGAATGCTCCCTTCTCTTTTAGCACACGTACACGACTTCCATGTCTGGAGCAAAGACAAAATAGAAAGAAGTGGGGGCACTTTTTTATTCAAAGGTCCATGGTTGACTAATATGGACATGATTGGCACCTGCGATCCAGCCAATGTTAAACACATAATGAGCACCAAATTCCACAAATACCCTAAAGGTCATGAGTTCAGAGAAATGTTCGAAATCTTTGGGGATGGTCTTTTCAATTCTGATTCCGACTTGTGGAAGCATCAAAGGAAGATTGCGACTCCGACGTGTGGAAGCATCAAAGGAAGATTGCGACTGGACTCGTTTATCATGATCGTTTTCGCCATCTTCTTGTCAAAACGATATATGATAAGCTATACACGGGGCTTATACCGGTCCTCGAATTCCTTCATAAAGAAAATAGGGTTTTTGACTTACAAGATTTGCTTTATAGATTTACTATGGATGTTAATACAATATTCACAACAGGTTATGACCGAGAAATGCTTTCTATTGAATTTCCAAAAGATGAATTTTCTGTTGCTTTAGATTTTGCTGAAGAAGGTATATTCTACAGACATGTTCGTCCAAAACTCTTTTGGAAGTTACAAAAGCTGTTAGGGTTTGGCATAGAGCAAAAAATGAAAGAAGGGAAAAAATTGCTCGAACAGATAGCTGAGAAATATATATCAATGAAAAAGGAACAACTTAAAACTAATAAGGGCCTCGAAGATTTGTTAACACTTTACATCAGCCGAGGAGAAATGGCTGGTTCCAAATCTCAGGATGAGTTTTTAAGAGATACCGTTCTAAATTTTCTTATTGCAGGAAGAGAAGCTTCCTTGGGTTGGTTCTTTTGGCTAGTTGCAACAAATCAAAGAGTGGAAACGAAAATTAGAGAGGAGTTGAAATCTATAGCATCAACAAGTGAAACAACAGGAGGGTTACAGCTCTTCGAGCACGAAAAGGTAAATAAGTTGATATATTTGCATGCAGTAATATTTGAAACATTAAGGCTTTATCCACCGGTTATGTACGAGCATAAAGAGCCTTTAAAGCCCGATGTGCTACCAAGTGGACATCTTGTAGATCCAACCATGAAAATTCTACTATCAATTTATGTGATGGGGAGATTGAAATCTATATGGGGAGAAGATTGCATGGAGTTCAAGCCAGAAAGATGGATTTCAGAGGAAGGAAGGCTTATACAGCAATCTCCATACAAGTTCTTATCCTTTAATGCAGGACCAAGAGTTTGTTTGGGAAAAGAAATTGCTTTGACTCAAATGAAAGCTGTTGCTGCTTTTATCATCCATAATTACCAAGTTAAAGTGATTGAAGAACATGTCCCGGAACCTAATACTGCTTCTATTATCCTTCATATCAAGAATGGTTTAATGGTTAGGATTAGTAGGAGATAATTTATATGCTCAAAAGTTATAATTGTTAGTTTTATTAGACAATTTTTTGTTAATTTATAGTTGTTGTTTGATGTTACCTAGTCCTCCTGAAGATAAGTTGTTGCATTACTTTCAATATGATATTGTTTATCTTTTGTTATAAATAATACAATATATTTCTTTTCAAAAAAAAAAAAAAAATACAATATATTCTTTCTACCTCTTGTATGAGATGTAGAGAGAGAAAGATTTGAAGTTCGAGTCTTCTCCATTATGAAGTTTATCACCAATATGATAAATGTTATTCAAAGGAGAGAGTTGGCTCCTTGCTATGTAGCGCATAATATACAGTATTATTTTGGTCCATTAGGTCTCCCATGTATCCAAAATTATTACGGTATATAAGTTTGATACATGAAAATGTTATGGAATTAAAAGCCATTATTTTTTATTTTGCAACTCATTTAGTATTTCATTTGTAAAAAAAAAAAAAAAATTGTGATTAACAAATGATGATAATTATTTATATTAGTTCTTTTAAAACTGTATATATATATATATATATAATTGCTTGCATGTATATTTATCACCGAATTATCAATTTTCCGGTTTGAGAAGCATCTTGTAAATGTCTTTTATATGGTCGAATAAAGTGTATCAAATGTTCATTGAACTTATGTCTTAATTTTTTAATAAGACAAATTTAAATTTTTAATTTTACATTATTTAAATTCAATTTTTTAAATATATAATAATGACAAAAATAAAACTCGAGAAAATATGAACAGAATTAGTCCAAGAATACCCTAGCATTACTATAAATAAATATCATACCTGACTCTATTTAATATACATACCTTTTAAATTCCAAACTCTAGCTAGGTAAGACTAGGAATAACCACAGTTCTAGAATTACCGATTTCAGTTTTAAAATTGCCGGTTCCGGATATAAAAAGGTGAAACTTAAACCGAATCACTTTTAGGCGGTTTCTAATTAAGATAGTTTTGAAACTGTCGTTAGTTTCGGTTTTGTTCTAATTTTGAATCGTAATTAGATAATTTATTTCAAATCTTTTAAAATTCTTTTTAAGATTTGTAGCTTGAATAAATAATACTCTCCTCATCCCATTTTGTTGGCTTATTATTTCTTTTTTGGATGTCCCAAAATGTTTGCAATGTTTCTAAATTTATATATCTAAACAATTATTTTCCCATAATAACTTTTATTATTGCTCATTAAATGAAGGACTTCTATTAATATATTAATAAGTTAAGGCTAAAAAGAGGTAAAATAATTTTTATTGACTAAATTCTTAATATGCGTGTTTTGTTAAACCATACAAACAAAATGAGATAAAAGGAGTAATAAATATTACTATTGAAAAGCACTAAACTAATTTAACAAAAGATCTTAAAATTTATTTTGAAAAGTTATAATAAAAGAAAAAAAACAAATTGAAAGTTTCTTTAAGACCATGTTTTTCGTGGTTTAAAACCGAAACCACCAGTTATAAACTAAAATCCTCCATTCTGATTTCAAAAAATGAATAATCGGAACAGAACCTTAAATACACGGTTTCGGTTACAGTTGAAATAAAAAATCATTGACCATAATTTCCTATCACTTTTGATATGGTTTCGATTTGAAACCGAATTGTTGGTCATGCCTAGGTAAGACCACTGACAAGGAACAGTTCGGAGTTCAATTTGTGAAGCTTCTATTTGATTCATTGTACAAGAAGTTTTAAAAATTTAGTTTCTAACCGAAATTTCCATGTTCAAGGTCAATTTCTAACCAAAAATTAAAAAAAAACCGATTCATTTCGGTCAGATTCAGATAATTATTTTAAAAATTTATTCACTGATCAATTTGAATATAGAAAGCTGTTTGTTTCCGATTTTAGTTCGATTATTATATATAACTAAACGAATTTACTTTTAAGCTCAAAATAACTAATTTTGTGTAAAATAATCAAACCAAACTGATGAAATTCAATTTGGATCAATTTTTATACTATTTGGTTACATATTAAGTTCCCATAAAAATTTATTCGGATTGACCGAAACTAAGTTAATGCAGTTTGGTTAATCAAATGTTCATCCTTAGCATAAGTGGTAGGCACATTTGAATTCAGTAGACAATCTCTTTAATATCAATCGTTTGACCTATAGAAAAATACTCATAAGGAGGGACAACCACAGCCCTGTTCGATAAAATTAGTTGTTCTAGGAGTTGTTAGTTATTTAGCTATTGTTTCAACAAACATTAAAGAAGTAACACCTCATACTACGCTTCCTCAAACTCTAAACACTAATTTGAGAGTTGCACCACTGAACACTATGGCTCTGTTTGGCAATAACATTTCAACTAGATTTTTGCATTATGAGCAAGTCAAAACTCTATCTTTATTAATTATACTATTCAGTAACATAGTATTTATAATAGCTTTTAGAGATTGTGTAGTTTTTTATCAAATGTTAAACACTTTGACATTTAGTGGTTCACAGAGATTACTTAAACAATGAATATTTTTATCATTTTTTGTTAAAAAAGTAATTAAACAACTGTTTTTACCGAATACTTCTAATTTAAACTGCTATATAAACATTTACCAGTTAAAAACTAATAGTTAACAGTTATCAGCTAGTAAAACAGCTAACAACTACTACACTAGTTAATAACTACTAAAATAATTAGTATTGTTGAACAAGCTGATATTTAATTATTTTTCATAATTTTAGTGGGTTTAAAGTGTCTTTTTGGTATGTTTTCAATAGGTTTTGTTAAGAGTTTTATTTAATTTTATGTTTATTTGTTTTTCTATTTATTTTAGTTGTTTTATATGTTTTTAGAGGTATTTTGGTGATTTCGGAGACTTAGAAGAAAATTTATGCATTTTGAAGAAAAAGAACCATCCTTGCTTTTTCCAAAATACATGATTATATCCCTAACTTTTGTGTTCGTCCAATGCTTTAGTCCTTCCGATAATTTTTAAGGTTTTGTACTATTAATTTGTATTAAAAAGATAAAAATACCCTTATATATATTTTATTTATTTCTCCTCTATTCATATTAGACACAAATAAACAACTCTCATCCACAGCTCCATCTATATTTTATGTACAGCCTACCACATATACAACAAAGGAAAAGCAAAATCTAAGACAATTATCAATCTTCAAAATGAAACAGAAAGAAAAATATATGCAAGTTATTTCTTTATAGGTATTTTTCTTGAAATGAAACTATAATTATATTGACCAAGAAGAAGAAAATAATTAGAGACATTATTCATAATGATTAGTACAAGAATTATCAATTATTAAAATTTGCATTCTATCATAGGTTGTGGCAATTATCAAACTCCTCCTGCAAATAGCCTTCTGTTATAGCAAAATTAGTGTAGGAATTCAAGATAAGTAAAAAAGAAGAAATTGACGAACAAATAGACTCCCAGTGCAGTAATATATTAGTAATGCAGTGATTGTCATAATCAACTACTATTGCATATGCTTTATCATAATCCTCTCCGAAATTGAGAAAATAAAATAATATTAAAACTTCTTGACAAATCCTCAGAACACATATTCATATGAGATTGAGGAATCTATTTAGCATCCATTGAAATAGACTTTAATTAAATTTTGAAAATAGAAAATCCATTTTAAAATTTTCTTAAATTTCTCAGAATCTAACCCAAGACCCAGAAATTGGAAAAAAAGTTTAAAAAAAAAAAAAAAAAAAAAAAAAAATTAAAATTTTGAAAATAGAAAATCCATTTTAAAATTTTCTTAAATTTCTCAGGAATCAACCCAGACCGCAGAAATTGGAAAAAAAAGTTTTTTTTATTTTTTTAAAAAAAAAAAAAAAAAAAAAAAAAAAAGAGCCCAGAATTTTGGAAGTTACCCCCTATAAAAAAAAAAAAAAAAAAAAAAAAAAGAGCCCAGAATTTGGAGTTACCCCCTATGGTCTCGATTTGAAGAAACCGTATGAGAAATTATTATTATTGAAGGTGAATTCAAAATCTCCATTGTAAGCAGAGGTCACCCAAAAATATATTGATTCTATTTAAATTCTAGGGTTGAAATGATTGGATCCAGGGCAAAACTAACGGAGATGAAATTGAGAGAGTGCATTACAAGATGATGTTAGGAGATGAAAAAGTGAAGGCCGAGGAAGATGAGCAAACAAAGAAGAAGAAGAAGAAGAAGAAGATTAGAAGAAAGTTGAAGGAGATAAATTCGTGTGAGAAAGGATTGAGAGTGTAGAGAATAGAGAATAGAGGGTGAATGATTAAGGGCATTTTGGTTATAAAAAACTATCTTTATTCTTTGACTATGTTTTAATTTTTTGACTCACAGTGAAATAATAAAAAAATAAATGGAATGACTAAAGAGTTGGATGGATAGAAAAGTTAAGGATGTAATCATTTATTTTTAAAAAAGCAAGGATGAAGTAGTATATTTGATCATAACCGAGGGACTAAATAGTAATTCTTCCTAATAATTTTCAAAGATTAAGTATTAATATTCAATACACTAAATGTTTTTTTGATAGAACATGCTCTTTTCCGAGAGCAGCTCTAAAATGTTATACAACATAAATAACTTAAAAAAAAAAAAAAAAAAAACTTATGCAACAGAAATAATAATGATTAAAGATTATTAATTTTTTACAATATAAATAATTATTTCGAAGATTATTATTATTAAGCCCACAACATAAACATAAACATAAATAGAAAAAAATATAAGAATTAAAAGATCTAGGACGAAAAATCTGGCAAAAAAAAAAAAAGAGTGAAATTTGTTGCAATAATACAAATAATTAAAAAAAAGTTAGTGTTTAGGGAACTCGAACCTAAGGGAAGTTTGCCAACATCTCAACCAACCAGTCTATAGTCACTACTTCAGATTTAAGTTATAAAAAATGATATATAATGTATTTGTGTAGAATGTGTGGATATATGAACAGTTCAATTCCTTATGCTTAAACTACAAAAATACTTCAAACTATGCAAATTGTTGCAAAATCACCCCAAAACAACCTTTATTTTCCGGACATCTCTATTTGGAAACTTAGATATATTTACACTGTAGTTTAAAAATCACACCATAAAAAGAACTAAAGTATTATTTCATGTACCTACAGGTTGTGACTTAATTTGCAACGCAAGTTGGACACGTGAGAAGAGCTCTCGGGTTCAATCCATACTAAACATACCTACAGAGAAGAGTAAATAGTCTTAACTGTGATTAACCCCCGAATCGAATTAGACGGTCTCTGGTGATAGGATCCGAATATCAGTAGTTTATAAAAAAAAAAAATATTATTTAATGTGAAACTCATTGCTTTACCTTAAGTTAGTTTAACGCAAGAACCTAAAACTCATTGTTTTGATAGAATCTGACAAAACCTTAAAATTTCTCTCTTTCAAACGAATGATTCCTCTTCTAAAATCCCGAACTTTCAAACTCTATCTCTTGCAAACTTTCTCTCATTCAATGACAAGTACCCTTACCCTTATCTCATTCTTCTATTCATTGTTTCTTGGTTTAATCCATCTTGTTGTGGAGCAGCATAACGTGGTGGTTTGCAATGCAGAGGCGTGATAGTTATGTAGCACCATAACGTGGTTGTTTGCAATGCAGAGGCGTGATTGGTAAGTAATATACCCCATGTGATGCTTTAATGTTTCTCCAGAATTATTGGCTCATGAGTTGGAAATATACTAAAATCAAATTCATTGAATTTTATATGCATTTGATGTTAGGAACAAGTTATATGCAATTCAAGTCGTTTATTTATTTGTTCAAGTGTCTGAATGGTGAATGCATGAAACCGTTAGATCTGAAATTTCAT